ATCGCAGGCGTCTCGCTCGGCGGCATGCACGCGTGGTTTGCCGCCGCCGCGGACACGCGGTGGAGGGCCGTCGCGCCGCTCATCGGCATGCAGTCGTTCGGGTACGCGCTGGAGAAGGGGTGCTTCCACGCGCGCGTGGAGAGCATCAGGGACGTGTTCGAGGCGGCGAGGGACGACATGGGGCGGAGCGAGGTGTGTGGAGAGGTGGTTAGAGCTGTGTGGGACAAGATCTGCCCCGGGCTCGTGGAGAAGTTTGACTGCGCGCAGTCGCTCCGGCTGCTCAAGCACAGGCCCGTGTTCATCGGCAACGGGGAGCTGGACGCTAGGTGCCCTACCGAACCCGTTTGGGAGGCCGTGGAGAAGGTGAGGGGCGAGGAGGGCGGGGAGAACATGGTGCTGCGCGTGTATGAGGGCGTCGGGCATGAGGTTACTGAGGAGATGTGGGGCGACTGCGTGGCCTTTTTTGAAAAGTGGTTCGGGAAGGAAGGAGTGGCGGGTGTGGACGGGGCGGTGGAGGAGGTGAGGTGTCCGGTGGCAGGGGTAGATGTCTGTTAAAGTGTAGATGCCGGCGGGCGAATAGCGAGCGGCAGGTAGCAGACGGTGTGGACATGCCAGGGGCGGAGCGCTGTGCGCACTCGCTGAGGTGACGTGAAAGAAAGGTGACCGATCCATGGCCTCATCTTTCTATCCTACACCTCGCCAGTGTAGTACAGGGGGGGGGTCCTCAATAGTTCGCTTTACAACAGTGCGCATGGCCAAATGTGCACCCCTTTCAGCGATGTCACAACTCTTGCCACGTGTACACCTGTGCACGTGGAGCCATGCCGATGTAGATGCACACCGCTGCGCTGCGGTTGCAGTGGTTGACGACCACGACCGGACACCCCGACCACCGATGGCGACCACCGCGACCACCGACCTACTGTATCACCAACAAGCGAGAAGCGACGTCAAATGCTCATATCGGAGCATTTTGTGGCCGGTGGGCTGTGACCTGTGGATGGACCTTTATTAGTTCGCGCTGTCAGTAGTGCGTATCTATAGCTGATGGCACGAGGGTACACTATTGAGGGGTACCTACTGTATTGCGAAGCACAGGATCATACAGTACGGCACGCACCTGATCTCAGGTGCCGTGTCTCCCAGCCTCACCCTGTCATTGCTGTGCATCATCCGGGCGCAGACTGCACTCTCTCCACGTGTACAACGATACCACGTGTCGCCGACAACACATAAGTGATAACGGCCCCGAAAGTCCCCTCCCCACTGCCAGGTCTCCCCCCACTTTCCCAGCCTCATCATGCCTCTCCCGCTCCCCCGCGAGTTCACCGTCGCGCTCCACTCGCCGCCCTCCCCCCCGCCTCCCGCCTCGACCCCATGCACGGTCGCAGCCCTTCTGGCGCGGCGCCGCGGCCTGCCGTACACAACCGTGGTCACGGTGCGTGGCGGGCGCGCCGTCCCGATGCTGGTCTTCCACACGCGCCGCCTGCTCACGGGCATGGCCGCCTTGCTCCCCGCACACCCGGCGCCGGAGCCGCGCGAGTTCGCAGCGACCGTGCTGCGCGTGGTCGCGCACATCGTGCGCGGGAGGCGCGTGTCGGGCGAGCTGCAGCTCGTCGTCGTCGTGTTTGTGGAGGCGGGCGTGCCGCGGGTTGGCGTGCACGCGAGCGAGATCGCGGACCCCGTGCAGAACGTCCCACTCGTCGACGTCGAGGTGCGCGGCCGGCCGCGGAGGAGCCCGGCCGTAAAGGACACGGCATGGGCGGCGGAGCGGCGCGCGCTGGAGGAGGCAAGGGCGGAGGGGATGGCAGAGACGGTGCTGGTGGGGAAGGATGAAAATGGTTGTTACAGTTTATTCGAGGGCCTTGTCAGCAACGTGTTTGTGCTGACTCAAAATTGTGACCTCCACACCGCCCCGGCTGACCGCGTGCTCCCCGGTAGCCTTAGGGACTGCGTGCTGGCGGCGTGCGACGACCTTGGCGTGCGCGTCGTGGAAAGGCCGATCCGCTTGGCCGAGTACCGTGCATTCGGCTCGGCATTCTTGACAAACGCAAGGCGTTACTTGCACCCGATTCGCAGCCTGTGCGTGGCGGAGCCCGAGGTCACCGACGCGTGTCCGAGGAAAGTCCAACTCCCGCACGGACCGGAGACGAGCGAGCTCGTCGACAAGTTACGAGTCCTGGTGTGCCAGCGCCTTGAGCGGTGTGCAACGTCAATCCTTTCACCGACTGAATAATCTTACAGAACGACGCTTTGCGAAAGGATACAAAGCTCGCGTTCGGACACCTGTACAACGTCACGAGAGATCTACACTACGGTACACGTCGAATGACCATGTCCATGCCGCTCTTGAACGAGACGGTCGAGTCGTAATCGACTTCCAGCTTGTCCTGCGTGCGCTCAAAGCTAAACTTTTGAAAGATCATCGCAAGCACCACCTTGGCTTCCATGGTGGCCATGCGTGCTCCGAGGCAAACGCGCGGCCCGGCACCGAAGGGGGTGTGTGACATCGGATGCCTCTTGGCTACCTCCTCGGGCGAGAACCGCTCCGGACGAAACTCTTCGGGGTTATCCCACAGCTGCTCCAACCGGCCCATGACATACGGCGACATGAGGATGTTGGCCCCGGCTGGGATGTCGTATCCGGCGATCGTATCTTCTGCCTTTGCGCACCGCCCGATCAAAGCTGTCGGCGGATAGAGGCGGAGCGACTCGTTGAGCACCATGTCCAAATACTTGAGCTTTGAAATATCCTCAATCGTCGGCGTCCTGCCCTCCGGCAGCACTTCCTCGAGCTCCTGCTGAATGTTGCGCAAGACTCTAGGCTTGCCCGCGATCAAGAACAGGGCTGCGGCGAGCGCGGAGGCGGTGGTCTCATGTCCGGCGAAGATGACGTCGTGCACATCCCACATCAAATCCTCGTCCTTGAAGTTGGCGCTGCGGCTCGAGTCCCTTGCGCGGAGCAGCAGTCCCAGCAAGTCCTTCTTGGAGGTGTCCTCGGGCTGCGTGCCCTCGCGGCGGAGCTCCTCGCGGCGCTTCTGGATGAGACGCAGCTCGATCTGCTGCAGGCGGTTGAGGTCGTTCTCGATGGCGGCGCGGCCGGGCGTGCGCATGACGCGCCACAGCGGGACCGGGGAGGTGATGACGTCCAGCACGCCGTGCAGGATGTTGGAGAGACAAGTCTCGATCTCGTGGGTGCCATCCGTAGACGTCATGGCGCCGAACTCGGTGCCGAAGGCGGCGGCGCCGATGATGTCCAGCGTGAGCATGCGCATCTCCTGGTGGACGTTAAGCACGGTGCCGGCCTTGGGTTGCCACAGGCGGTGGATCAGGAAGGCGGTCTTGTCAATGACGGTCTCGACGTAGTGGTTGAGGAAGTCAGGCGAGCGGAAGACGCTGCCCACGACTTTCCTGTGCTGCATCCAGTAGCGGCCCTGCGAGAAGACGAGGCCGCGCAGGTTACCATCGTACAGCAGGAGCTGGAAGCCGGGCGGGGTCCAGCGGTCGAGGTAGTTGCGCGAGTTGGACATGGTGACGC